AAGAGAGAGAGAGAGAGAGAGAGAGAGAGAGAGAGAGAGAGAGAGAGAGAGAGAGAGAGAGAGAGAAGGAAAGAGAGAAAAAGAGAAAGAGAACATGAGAGAAAGAGAAAGAGAGAGAGAGAGAGAGAGAGAGAGAAAGAGAAAGAGAAAGAGAAAGAGAAAGAGAAAGAGAAAGAGAAAGAGAAAGAGAAAGAGAAAGAGAAAAAGAAAGAGAAAGAGAGAGACAAAGACAAAGACAAAGACAAAGAAAGAAAGAAAGAAAGAGTAAGTAAAAGAGCCAACTGCCAGTAGCAGATGAAACAGTACTTACGTGCATTAGCCAACTTGATGTCAAAGGAACACGACCAAACGATAGCGTAGCTGGTGTAGTCGGTGTCCAGAACCCAGTAGTTGCCATTACCACCTGCCATTGCTCCGCCGACTGTGCACAATGGAGAGGTCGGTTAGGGTTGGGTCATGAATTTTTTTAATTTTTGTCTTGTAAGCGCTAATAAGATATAGTGATTATTATTATTATTATTATTATTATTATTATTATTATTATTATTACTATTATTATTATTGTTATTATTATTATTATTATTATTATTATTATTATTATTATTATTATTATTATTATAAACGCTACTTTTATTACTGTTATTGTTATTGCTAATATTAGTACTAATTTCATTTTTATCGTCACTGTGCTAATAGTTGATATCATCACCATCTCTGATATGGACACCAAATATCCATCTCCATTCCAACCCATAAGACCCGTAAAGGAAATGAACCTTAAAAAAAAGATGAATAAGAACAAAGAAAATACGAACATGGCGAGAAGGAGACCACCAGCTTGGCTTCACCGCTCGCTGGGTCGGCCAAAACGGCTTCACCTTCGATCGAATTCTCTTTTCCTGACAACCTGTAATAGATAAATAGATAGAATAGCAAATGTGGAAATGAACGGAAATGTAAATATATGACTAAATAGAGAGCCGGAGAGGCTATATAAATAATGTAAACAAATGCTGAGGTGAAATGGAATGAAGAAATGGATTATAAATTGGTCAGTGTAATGGATACATTAAACAGGGTAATTAATTAATTTATCAACCAGTGAATGAAATGCAGTAATAAATGGGTAAATGATACAGGAAATAATATCCATTCATAGGCAAAATGGGTAACATTAACAAGATCTCATCCAAATCAAAACGCAAATCATTCGTTAATGAAAAATCAATGAGTAATAATCTCTCTAGCGATGCTTTAGACACAGCTATTATCACTCATCTATGTGTATGTTCGTACATGTAAACATACACGTCTATAAATGTATATTTGTATATATACACACCACACACATCTATGTTCGCGTATAAACAGACAAAATGAAGCCCAAGCCGCAGCCACCACTTACGCGTTGGTCTGTGTGTTGACGACCTTGATGTTGCCGTTGGGGAGGAGCGAGTAGTTGGCGGTGATGCACTTGCCGCCCAGCTCGAAGATGGCAAAGTACTTCTCGATCTCGTACCATTTGCCGAGGTACTGGTGGTAGGAGATGCGGGTCATTGGTATCATGGCAATGGTTTTTTGATTTTTGAGAGGGATATAGGTGTTTATGTTCGAAATTGTATCATTTTTTAAGTTGCTGATTCATGCGGTTCTGGTGGGTGTTTGTAGTGTGTGGGGATACATTACTATCATCAAAAAAAAAAAAAAAAAAAAAAAAAACTAACGTGAAATGAGTTGATCTATAAAAGCGAAAGGTCCGTTATAAAAACTTTTTTTTTTTTTTAGCAAAAAGAAGGTCCTTAGGATTTTGAATAAAATTGAATATATACTGTCCATACATTTCGCTTAAGATGCAATTGTATATATAAACAAAAAAATAAACAAGAGAAATTGGTAATCAAGATTCTCCACGAAAAATCTAAAAAAATATATATATATACCATCAAGGAATGTAACTTCCTCTCGGTATACGTACAACACAAGGAAGAGGCAAAGAAATTCGAACTTACACTGTTCAGATCGAAGTTTTGCACAACGGTCTGTTTTGGGCAAGACCCGAAGAAGATCTCCTGCGATGAAGTCACCGAAAAGACGGCTGACATCACCATCGCGGCGCTGACGACGTTCAGTCTCATCATCTTTGGCTGAGAAAGTAAGATAAACAGATGGATAAGTAAAAGAAACAATAAATAAAAGGAATGTATATATATATATATATATATATATATATATATATATATATATATACATAAATATATACAAATGGAAATGGAAGTGTGTGTGTGTGTGTATGTGCGTGTATGTGTGTGTGCATGTGCGTGTATGTGTGTGTATTTGTGTTTGTGTGTGTGAGTGTATGTGTGTGTGTGTGTGTGTGTGTGTGTGTGTGTGTGTGTGTGTGTGTGTGTGTGTGTGTGTGTGTGTGTGTGTGTGCCAATCTTTCTATCTCTATCACACACACACACACACACACAAACACACACACACACACACACACACACACACACACACACAAACACAAACACAGTACAATGATACACAAAGCACACACGTACATACTCAAAAACACATACAGGGTACAGTGCGTTGCCGTCTGCTTTCGCCAGCGTTCCTACAACGTCTGCGTCTCACCTCGTTCTGAGCTGACTGCAAGATCACTGCTGGTACTGGTAGCCGTTACATAAAAAAAACTGGAAGGTCACTTTTTCCCTTTGCTTTTTTGCGGGTGTAGATTATTCAATGCAAAAAAACAGGTTACAAAAAATAAGCAAAAAAAAAAAAAAAAAAAAACGTACTTAACAGGAGATCCTCTTGTGTTGTAGAAAAAAGGAGAATGATTTTAACAAGTGATTTTTTTTTGTATTTTTTTTCCTCATGCGCATGTCATCATTTTTGTTTTCTTTTTCCTCCTCATCTATTCCCTCTCTTTTTTCTTCAACATTAAAAAAGAGACTAAGAAAAAGAAAACGAGGCAAACCGCAATACTGAAGGCATATTAACAAAATGCTATTCTCTACTGGACACACATTTCCCGTTAGGATTAGAAACAGAAAATAGAAAACGTTGAATTAGGTGAATCTACATCAGAAGCCCTGGATGTTCATCACTGAGGAACCAAGAATGCAACTGCAATCACTCACTTGCTATGCTAGAGGTCACACCTGGCTATGTTGAGGCGGTGAAACATCCGTACTCAGAAAGTCGTGGCTGCATTTGTATTCGTGTGAGACGCAGTGGTTCATGATAGAAAGAGACAGTTGGTTGGGTCAGAAAATGGTCTATGATTATCTTGACAGGAACAGAAACCGGTCCAAAAGTAGGGAGATTTAACTACAAATCGACGAGAGCGAAACCCTATTCAAAAAAGTAAGATTCCCCTACGCTGCTGAACAAATGTATCATCCACTAATAGTTAATAGCGATACTACTCTTACTAATTCCATTTATCTTTTCCATTTATTGTTTAATTCTTTATCTTTTTATATTCCAATCTTTGGCAACACTTAAATACCATTCCCCCCCTGATAATAAAATCACTTCGCTTTCGTAACGTGAACGGGATTAGGAGAAATTTAAAGCAAGTGTGGAAGATACGGTACACGAACACAGGTACGTACGAAGCAACCGCGTAACCACTATTACGGCCTACTAACTGCACCATAAAAGTCAGTCTTGTATAACATTCACTACAGATGATAGTAACAATAATAATATAGGTGATAATGATGCCGATATTTACAAAATCCCTAGTAATGATAATGATTTTTGTGATACCGCTAGCGATGATAATTAAGATCGCAACAGCAGTAATGATAATGATGACGGTAAGAATGAGACGGTAACAATAACAATAACAGTCGAAAGTGCAATTTCGAAAACTGCAAATAATAATAAAAAAAACAAAAAAACTCGAAACCAACAATTGTTTTTTTCTGCACAGAGAAGACTTTTTTTTATTGCACTATCCATCACATTCACGTATGCATCCTTTTTTTTATTTTTTATTTTATTTTTTTATTTTAGAAGAGTATAAAGTTCAGTTTTCCTGAAAAAAATAAAACTTAATGAGACATTGCTTATCAGTACGACACTCCACACCTCCGCACATACCTTCGTTCACATCCAGTCAGGGAATATGCATCCTTCCGCACTTAAATTAAAAAAAAAAAAAAAAATACATCAAAAGCCACGAAAATGAAAACGTACTTCTTATGCAGTTATAATTATCATCATTCACATCCCTCAGTAGGAAAATTACAGAATGTTTGTGGCTGCATTTACATCTGTTCACTTTCTCTGAACAGACGGTCGAAATATTTACTTTACCTCCTTCCGTGTTCATTTATTTAGCACATTTCCCCCCCACCCTTTATCATATAACCATTTATACCATAATAACTGATATCCTGGTTTCGTAGCATTTAATACCTAGCCAATAATTCTAACAACATCCTTATCAGCGCTATCATGTCTGTGTAAAAAAAATCCTCTCACTTCTGTTATCAGCATTATCATTAGAAACACTTCCGGTGGATTCTAACAATAACATGATAAGATATAATAGACGTTATCATGTGATTCTGATAACAATATTGACATCCTGGATAATTTTGCTCTGGTAAAAGGTGTTATATATGTGTCTCTCTGTCTGTCTGTATCTTTATTTAGGTTAAGCGGCGTTTTTAAGTTCTATCTGTTATCGTATTGTTATTTTAGTTATTGTTGTTCTTACGCTTTCATTTTCATTGTTTTTTTTTATCGTATTCTTGTTGTTGTTATTACTATTTCGTACTTATTTTTATTATCACGGTTTTATTTTTAGTCAATTTTTCGATTTCTTATTTCTCTTTCTTTTTTTTCTTTTTTTTTAATCTCATTCTTCTACTTATTCTCTTTCATTTTTATTGTTTTTATATTTTATTTGTCGATTACTCTTTCGCGTTTTTAAAATCTCATTCTTCTACTTTTCATTTTCTTTCGTATTTCCTTATTTTTCTTTATTATATTCTACTTTTTATCCTCTTTTTTTATTATATTCTACTTTTTATTTTTTATATTCTACTATTTAACCTTTTTTTATTATGTTCTTCTCCTTTTTGTTTGTATTTCGTTATTGTTATGTTTTTTTTTCTTACAATATTCTTCGACCACGTGTTACTCTTTCGTTTTTATTTTATATGTATATATATTTTTATCAAATTCTTCGAGTTCTTCCTCCTGAACTTTCCGCTTGCGCTGTCAGGTTAACCTTGTGATTTCTGCACGATCAGTTCTCGTGAAAAGAAAAAATGAAAAAAAATATATATATATACACACACTGTCTTATGTTCCCCCCCACCCCTTTCGTTTTTTTACGTAAGATTATTCCAAGGTTTCAGTGGGCTGTGGTAATTCTGTGTAATTGAATTTAGTATATTTTAGCTGTTATCAATAATGAGAAATCTACCTGCACGGCCTCTATTATTGTCGATTAATTGGCAGTCTTTATTTTTTACTACTTACTGATATTATGTTATCATTAGTAGTAGTAGGATTAATATGATCATTGTTATCTTTACTGTTATTATTAATTTTCATAACTGTTATCATTATCATCATTTGTCATTATCGTTATCAACAGTAGTAGTGATAATATAATTATCCTTATTATCATTATCATTATTACTACTATTATCATTGTCGTTGATATTAACATTATATTCATCATTATCATAACTGTTATTATCATTATATTAATTATTATTGTAACTTATTAACATCATTATTACTATTACGCTCACACACATACATACATACATACAAACACACACTCACTCACACACACACACGTACGTGTGTATATATATATGTAGATAGGTAACGTCTACGGAGCTAGTTAGATCCTAGTTGCACACTCCTTTTAGTGGGTCGCGTGGCATGGTTGGCTTAGTACTGGCCGTCCGGTCTCATATATATATATGTGTGTGTGTGTGTGTGTGTGTGTGTGTGTGTATGTGTGTGTGTGTGTGTGTGTGTGTATATATATATATATATATATACACACGTACATAAACATACACACCCACACCCACACATATATGTGTGTGTGTGTGCATATATATACATATATGAATATATATGTGTTTACATATATGTATATATATGTATGTATATATATATATATATATATATATATATATATATATATATATATATATATATATAATACACACACACAGATATATATATATTTATGTTTATATATTTACACACACATATATATAACGGTATATAAACAGACAAAATCATGAAAACGACCCTGGAACGGCTGCAAAAAGCCGGGCGGCCGAGCGGCGCGACCGGTCGTGAGGGCAGCCCGACTTCCTCATGCCAGCCGACGTTCCGAACAAGTGTGTCATCAGGTCAGCGTCCAGGATGGAAGGAAGGTCGTATACCCTTGGCTGAGCAGCGGAGAGGGACCGGAATTATGCATGCTGCTCGGTCCTCGCTCTCGCTCTGCTAGTTTCTCTTTACATCTCGTTCCAATTTTGTGTTTATGTTGCCTTTTTTGTCTAGTTTGTTTTATGTCTGGCTTTGTGTTTGTTCCTTAATGTTCCTATCTCTTTCTGGTTCCTCATTCTTTCTCTCTCTATCTCTTCTTCTTCCATTCCTGTCTGTTTGTCTGTCTCTTACACATAACTGGAATTCGAATGTCGAATGTCTCGCGTGCGTGTTTCTTGCGAAAACCGCCAATCCTCTCATCTCATCCACAGATTTCTAAAGCACCTGCGATGACATAATACAAGCTGGAAGCAATGACAGGTAACACCACAAAGTACGGGTCTCATAGTAGTGTAGGATTTCTCTCGTTTACGTAGAAATCAGGAAGAAGAGATAAAAAAATAGAAGAATCAGACAGATGCAACAGCATATTACAGATTACAGCGCTGTCGTATGCCGCAGGAGAAAGGAAACGCTAATCACACTAACAATAAAAATTACACAGTTTTCGGTCTGGCAATCTGGTGTCCAGTTCGCAGTCATGCTGTGCTAAACTGGAGCAAGTGTTCTCTCCATAAAAAAAACACTAGAAAGTAAAAAGAAGAATAGAAGTAAAGGAGAGGAAAATAGTATCATGCAGCGACTTAGGCCGGAAAATCTTGTCGAACAGCATGGTGAGTATTGCGTCACAAAATTAGCGATGCAATGCACGATTTCTTAAGCATTGGCGGATTGGCAGCTTTGGGATACACCGCAGACCGCAGGTTTTGTAACGAGGTCATAATATCTACGTTTGGAAACTTTACTTTGTATTGTAATCTAATATACATAAAAATTAAAATCAGCATTACTACACTTGTTATCATCTTTTGCACTATGAAGATATCTATGCTCAATATATCTCTTCTACAGCTATCGTTGTCATTATTACTACATCATTATTATCATTGTCATTATTACTATTACTGTTAGTATTATCAAAATCGATATCATCAATGTTATTATTATGATCAATAGTTT